GTAACTGAGACTGCAGAAGTCCTGGAAGCTGACAGCAGGCTGTGGGAACCCCAAGTCATAACCTTAGTCTGCTGCAAGACTTGGATTCAAGCCTCAGAAGCTACGCGCGGCCAAGAGGATGACTTAATTTTTGTGGAAATCCCCAGGACTACAGACCATGTCAAGCCTGAAGCGTTTATGCATCGCAGAGGCCTGCAAGAAGTCTCAATACCCAATAGCGTGACCAGCATTGGACAGGATGCTTTCTTTGCTTGCAGTTCCCTGAGACATGTTGAAATCCCCGATTCGGTGACTAGCATTGAACCTGCAGCCTTCGGATCATGCTTTGGCCTGGAGACCATCAAGATCCCCAACTCTACGACCGGCATCGGGAGATCCGCATTCAGTGGCTGCAAGGCCCTGAAGAATGTAGAGATCCCCGATTCCGTGACGAGCATTGCGGAAGCAGCCTTTGAATCGTGCTTTGCCCTGGAGACCATCAAGATCCCCAACTCCGTGACCAACATCGGGAGGTCCGCATTCAGTGGCTGCATTGCCCTGAAGCACGTGGAGATGTCTGATTGGATGGCTAGTGTTGCGGAAGCAGCTTTTAAATCATGCAGTGCATTGAACAACATCCAGAGATTCTCAACTCCGTGACCAGCATTGCACATTCCACTTTCCGGGACTGCAGTGCGCTGAATCACGTAGAGATCCGCGATTCGCATTGGTCCTGGAGCCTTCAAATCGTGCGGTTCCTTAGAACTGTTCTGAGCCCTAGCTCCATGACCAACATTGGGAGGTCTGCATTCATTGGCTGCAGTGCCTTGAAAAGTGCCGAGATCCCCAAAAAGCGACTGGCGTTGGGGAAGCCGGCTTTGAATCGTACGATCATGCTTGAACCTCCGCACTCGCGCTATCTGACGTGCCAGAGCCACGGCGACCTGCAACTCATTTGTTCGCAGTTGCGACTCCTTTGAGGTCTGCAATTTACTGACCCTTCACGGGAGCTCATGCGCCCTTAATTTAGACCTGTGCGGTGCCGTGCAACAGGCTCTGCTACCCAGGACGCTCCATTCGCTGGCTTCATGTGTTCTGCTATTAGCGAGTAGGCGAATGGTTATTAGCGAGTAGGCAAATAATTTCAGGAACTACCCGCCCTGTTCACATGCTTGGCTTGGTGACATGAACGCCATACTTGCAGATCTGTGAAGCCGGCAGCGAATCTTAAGTTGAGACCAAAAGACACGCGGACGTGTAAAAAAAACATGGGCTCCTATATATGTGGCCAGACATTTCGTGCAAGGTTTGGATCCTTGAAGTTGAGCTAAAAACGTACATTCCTCTACTTCTTGAAGACGGATAGTAGGGATCCGCTAGTATAAGGGCCCATGGTCAGACTTCCGGGTGTTCTTCACCTGTCAGGACATGGGCTGTGCTTGAGCTTCTTTAAGAAGCCTTTCTGATGCTTCTGTTCCAGCAAAGGTGGTGTCCCAAATCAAGGATACCCGTTTTGGGATTCCTTATGCCCAGGGCTACATGTTCTGAGTGTGGTGGTAGCTGGGTGGTTTTCATCACGATGTCCTCTACTCTGCCCTGGTTATGCCCTTTTCGTCTACCGTTGCCGTGCATGCACCTGGCCACACATTGACCAAAGGGACACCTTTTTCTCCTAACATAATTGGTGGAAGTCGACTTAGGCAATCACCTCAACCCTGCTTTTGCAAGCTAGTCGTAGGATGCTTAGGATCTAAAATGAGATGCGAGGTTTTCCCAAAATTAAAGGTGCCTTATTGTGGGGTCCTGATAATACGGAAAACAAAGATCTAGGGTCGGTCTTGGGTTCCCCCCTCCATTTTGCGAAACTACCATGTCTAGATACTTGGAAATTCCAAGCGAGCATGGGGGTTCTTAACCACCATCTCACAACGTTTGCTTTCGAGAAGCCCTTGGTGCCCGAAGCTTCCAGGGTTTCGAGGTCTGGGGGATTCGTAGGTGCTCAAATGACAAGGCAGAATGTCATTTATATGCTGTTTCCTAGATCCAGCGCCGCTCGGTTTTCAAACCGCAGATGCCCTGCCCGCGAGAGAGGGGTTTCTCAGCCTACGTGCACCCTCATGACCACATGGGCTGAAGAATTTATAGGAATGTCTACTAGGATTGCATATTGCATTTTGAAGCAACTCCTGAAAAAGGCAAAGTTTAAAGTCGGCCAGTAGCCTATTGCTGCCCCACTCACCAGTGCTTTTACCGCATGTTCATTCCGCGAAGCCCAGCCGTTGCAGAAGTCTCTTCACGACCGCTATTGTTTTACCCTTCTCCTAATGGTTCATACATCGCGATTGATGTAGACCCCTGATTAATGAACCCCTTCCTTTTCAGGACCTTAATATTCGGATCGCTTTTATAATCCCCATTAAGGGGGGGTGGTTGTTAATCACCGGTCTACAGTAAGGCAGTCTCTGCACAGTAGAGGTCTCACACAGCCCAAAACGGTGGAACTTTTCATATGGAATCCACCCGGCAGGAGACACTGAATTTTGAGAAGCCCTTATGAGCCATAGTCTAAACTCCGTAAAGGGGGTTCATATAGGGGATTGCTCTAAGGGTTATGAAGGGGGATACTAGGAGTTTAGACTATGGCTTATATACTCCCTGAAGCAAACACAAATCCTGCCCTGGAGGGTCAGGGGGACTTCGGAACTAGGTTACTGATAGTCTGCTAGTGGGTACCTTGTAGATCTACAAGGGAAATTTCTGGGAAATTATTTTCACACCCGCAATTTTAGGCGCAGGTAGTGGGGTTTAGGGTTGGGCTAGGGTGTAGGGTTTAGGGGTTGACGGTTTTGGGCTTGTTTGGTGTTTGGGTGTAGGGTTTGACGGCTTAGATCTGTTGGGGGCAATGGGGTTAATTCCCTTTCCTTAGCGCTGCTCCACTAATTGCCTAGTTACCTAGAAAACTTATAGGGTTTAGGGTTTAGGGTTCAGGGTTTAGCGTTTAGGGCCTAGTTACCTAGAAAACTTATATGGGTGGTTGTCAAAATTATGGTCCTTTTTGGAGCCCTATTATACCATGGCACCTAATCTTTAGGGTACCCCGAAAAAAGGGATCATAATTTGGACAGGGGACCCCAATATTGACCCCAAAATACTACAATCCTTCATAATTGGGACCCTGAACCCTAAACCCTAAACCCTAATTTTGAGAAACCCCCATATGGCTGCTCAAGAGCTCAGATGAGCACGGTTCCAGTCCTGGCCTCCCGCAGGCCTAACCCCCCAAATTGTCGGTGTCGGGTTTAAGGGTTTAGGGGTGTAAGGGTTTAGGGGTTTAAGGGTTTAGGGGTTAGGGTTTCAGGGTTTAAGGGTTTAGGGGTGTAAGGGTTTAGGGTTTAAGGGTTTAACGGTTTAGGGTTTAAGGGTTAATGGTATAAGTCCTATACCCAAACCGCTGTAGTTAGCTCAGAAAACCGGAGCTGCAAACCCGAAACCCTGAACCCATCTCAACCCTAAACTTTTCACCCCTAGGGTTTAGGTTGGGTACTGCCCCCTCCCAGTAACAGTCTATGTTAGGGGTCCTATTAAGGGCATATATAACCACATTATAATTATTATCCAATTGTTACTGAGGGGGGAGTACCCTAGGGTTTAGGGTTTTATGCCAGGGTTTAGGCCGAAATCCCAGAAGCCATGAGGCCACCAGGCCTATGCCAACCCCGTCCTCGCCTTGGCAGGGGCGCAGGCAAGGGATGCCCCACACACACGGTTTAGGGTTTAGGGTTTAGGTTTTAGGGCTTAGGGTTTAGGGTTTAGGGTTTGGGGATGGTTCTACAGTTCCTTTTAAAGGAGGGGCCTTGGAATACACTTCCTTAAAAAAGGATCCTAGCCAAACAGGGAACCTAAATGATGGCCATTTTGGGGATAGGTATTTTGAACAGCCACCACATGTGTTTTAATGGAAGTTTCCGAGGTTCGAACAATGGCCCCAGGTATGGTCCTTGATCCTGGGGTAACCCACTATATACTTTACAAAGCCCTAGGATCCGTGATATGAAAGTTCCCGCGACAAGGGCTTACGATTTGGCTCATGCAGTTTTGTGGGGTGGGTAGTCCGATTGCAGGACAAGCCTACTGCGTGCTCGCGGCAGTTCGTTTAGCGTTGACAAAAGGGCAAATTCGAATGGGAGTTCCCAAAACGGTTTAGGGGTTTGAGGGTTCGAGGCTTACTTAGGGAGTTCCCGAACAAAGGGTTTCCTCGACGACCCAAGGGACGAGTAGGATACGTTATCAGGGGTTTAGGGTTTTGTGTGATGGAGGTTTCTCAAAATAAGGGTCCGCCGTCCAAGCCCTCGGAGAATGTATGGTTCTACTTCAGGATTGGCACAGAGTTTCCAAAGAGTGTCAACACAACTCGAGCTCCTCAATATGCGGCCATTGTGAGATATGTGGGTGGCAGGTTCCAAACCATCGCCATTTATGCAGGATTCCGTGCCTGAGCACAGGATCCCTTGCGTCCTTGCAGTCGGATTGGGCCAGTTAAGCAGAGACCTTGAGACAGAGAGGGAGCATGCCTTTTCTTTTTGAAAATTTCACGCCAAACACATGTTCTTTTCTCGGGGCTAGGCATACCCGAGACAAGGTCAGAAGAATTCTTCGTAAAGCTGCGTTGTAGGGGAGGTGGGAACCTCAGCGTTCAGCGAGGGACCTCTATCTTGGGGCGGGTTGTTCGGGCTTGGGATTTTCGAGTTCCTTGTTGTGTACCACACCGATTCAAGAAAGCTCCCCGCAAATCCAGCAACTCAGACAAGGACCATTTTTCGAAGGTCGCAAAAATTAGGGTCCACCACCTGGACCTAAGCCTGGACCCTCCGCCTGACCTAAATGTTGGAAACGACCCATACGTTCCGTTCCTAAAATGGAGGGGCCAATCACAGTATACGTCAGGTTTTTTGTGTAAAGGCGGCCGCCCCCTTCAAAAAGAGAGGAAAGCCTTGACTCCAGATATCTTCCAGGTGCTGTACATGTTTGGCTGGTTCCGCAGCACGGGCGAGCTGATATGGGAGAACATCCTCTCGTCAGCGGAGCTGCCCCTGAATTCTGTTTGGGGGTTTTCATTTTCAACGTCCTCGCTACTCAACACCCTAGAGGTCCATCTCCCTGAGCTGTGGACCCAGAGAGCCCAGTATAGCTTAATTAATGAAGGAATATGCCTTAACTTATGATAGGACCCATGGTTACATGCATATTCCGGAATTGAGCTTTATTGGGCGCCCTGGGGAGTTCGGCTGTTTTTCAGTGCTGTGCCTCAACGATGGGGGCGATGCGGTCGCAGCAAGGGCTCTATAGTCGGAGTGACTGTGGTTGTTTTCACTTACTTGGAGTCGGTAGGGAAAAGGGGATATGTTGTAATATTATATAGGGATGATCTTCCCATATTGCCTCCTAGCAGCCAGTAAGTTAATTGCTATTGCCGATAGTCTGTTCCTGTCACACGCTTTGGCCAAGTGTGAGCTCACAGAAACTGATGTGGGGAGAGTTTCCGAGTTTTCCCAAGCTGGAGGTTGCCAATCATGAGGGTCGTAGTTTTAACAACGGGCCCAGCTTCAGGAAACAGCAGCGTCAGGTGGCCAGCGGTCTCTTTAACTTCATACATTGCTCAGATTCTCCCAAGGTCCCCGGCTTGGATATGAGCCAGTGTCTAAACTCCTTAAAGTGGGTTATAGGGCGGATCATATAGGGGACTACTATAGGTGTTATTAAGGGGGATACTAGGAGTTTAGACTATAGCTCATATGGCCATGCGTTTCAATCAGATACCCCACAAATTTCATTGAACATTGATGTAGGGGTCCCCCCAAACAATCAAAACCCCTAAGCCCTAAACCCTATTCACACGCATACTCAGGTTTGAGCGAAGCATTCTCGTCAGCGACTGTAAGCCGGAGCATTCGTATGAAGTCTGGCACGACAACGCTTGCGTTCATTGCTCAGTTGGGGGAGGGGGGGGAGGGTCTGAAGATTAGGCTTCTTGCTGGGGTTTCTGTAAGACGGCTTTGTTTACTGCGGAGGCAGAGAAGTAGCGGAGGGTCTGCATTCTGTGTATGTCCGTGTTACCGCACCTCAAGAGGCATGTCGGGCAATGCCAAGGGCATGATGAGTTGTCCGCTGACCTCAGGCCACTTTCCCGGTCAAAAGCAGAGAAAAAACCAGCTTTGTGGCAAATGGTTGTTGAGTTTGGGTACCCCCAGAAGTCACTGAAGTTGCTATGACCTTCATCCCCACAACAACCCCCCGCGCGTCTCCCATTGCGCTTTCCGAGCATCTCCCCCACCAGAGACAGCGCGCAAGCCGCGAACTCCTCAACTTCAAGAAATCTACATCGTAAGCTCATTCCCTGGGGTGTCTCAAAATCTAAGCCTTGCACCCCTAGCGCATCATCAACAACTTGACAACTGATGTCCGAACTTGCATGTGAACCGCCACCGTCAGATAACTCAAAGAATCCTTCCGCCTTGCTGGGCTTACTGGGTTAGTAGGGAACAAGGAAAATGTTACATAGGTATTAGCGCAGGGATTCTGTACCCTTCTTCCTACCAACCCCCAGTGAGGACATCCGCTGGACTCATGCCATCTTGCTGTATCACTGGCTTGCGCAGACTGACACCACTGCACAGCAGCCCATGTACCAGACTCCTTGGTTGCATCCAGGTTGGGTTCATACGGAGTATTGCTCTTGTCGGCAAGGAATGACACGGGAACACGAGCTTGATTTTGAGCACAAATTGAAGCATCGTAGCTGGGTGAAAACCTCCTAGCCTAAGGATTTATTCCCTAAGCCACCAGAAGCTTCACTGGAGCCAGGCTCCGTTGTAGTGGACCCTGGTCATTGATCAGGGTTACCGCGAAGCCAGTAGCCTCTCAGTCTCATCCTGATTGCAGAGCCCCATCTCGGATCCTGTGCCCTAAGCCCTCCACCGTGAGGAAGAAGGCGCAACAACTCTTAGAGGGCATCAAGCGCGTGAAGAAGTACGAGCCTGTCAGTGCTGGTTGGACATCTCCAGGGCACGTGACTGGGACTCGGATGTATGGTTTGGGATGTACGAACCGCAAAGCTTGCAGGAAGGGTTTACGCCGAAGAGCAACGTCCCAACTCCCCCCTTTATGCAAAAAAAACTTGTCGCCGAGAATTCTAATTGGTACATCACATGCTGCGTTGGCTTCCATCCTGGCTTCGAGGAAAAAAAACTGGCAAGGCCTACACGGCCCAAAGCAATCGCAGAATCCCTAATCCTCAGCGCTATGCCTTTTAATCCGTCCCAGGAGGCCGTAGCCTAAGTCCCAAGCCACTCTCTCTTGGGTTTATGTTTCAGGATTTTTGGGCTGCAGAAGGCTGGCTTCAGTACAAGTCCGTACGTCAAACCAAGGTTTTAGGGGTTTAGGAGTTGTGGGTTAAGAGTTCAGGCCATGGACAAGCGCAGGTGAACTTCAACTCGATCATCTTTGCCGGGAAGCCCTCCAGGCCCATATGGGACACCAAGGAGCTGCCCATAGGCGGGCGGGGGGAGGGTCGAGTCCCTTGCACACATATCACTAGGGGTCCCTTGAAAGTGGCCATATATATATATGTACCTATATCCTTGTCTATATATACATACACACATACTTTTTTCTTTTTGAAGGGCCGTAGGCTATGGATTGATGATTTTTGAGAGATATTTTTGATGGAGGCAATCTTGCACCACCTACAGTCCCTAAAGTCCTAGCAATTACAGGAATTCAGGGCCCCAGGTGGTGCAAGATTTCATCCATCAACAGTATTTATTGCATCCTTGGCTGGGTAGGCTTTGTGGCCTAGCAAGATCAATCCCAGTCTGCTCGGGGTAAGCAAAGGACATTCCTACACTTCGAACCGTAAACCCCAGTCCTAATCCATATGAGCTATAGTCTAAACTCCTTAAAGGGGTTACGTGGGGATTACAGGGGACGACTATAGGGGGGTATTAAGGGGGATACTGGGAGTTTAGACTGTAGGTCATGCACCCTTCACGCCACGCATGTGGCCTTGGTCAGGTTTCGGGATTGGGAATCTCGTCCAGAAAATCATGTTTGCCCAATGCTGAGTGGATTGCATAAAGTTTCTTATCGTATCAAACAGTGTTTGGACGTTTCATGAAAATCTTTTGGGTTTTGAGCTGGTGCTTCAGGGCGCAGAAAAAGAATGGTGCTGAGCCCTCTGCAAGTTCGTTGAAAGCTTCCCTGTCTCTATTGCCATTTGGGGGGTTTGAGCCTTCTGTTTGGTTGTTGAAGTCTCTTCCCTAAGCAGACTACAAGCATAGCACTTCCAGCTGAGCTCCTCTAACCTCCCCCGAACTAGTGCCATCCCCCTCGAAACATGCAACAGAATGTGGTGGCGTTTACTACTCTCAGGGTGCGGGGATTGCGGTCCGCTTAACAGTGGGCATGCGTTGTTTTCCATGTTGGCTAGAGCTTGACAGCCCAAAATAGCCAACTACTCGTTTTTGGCTTGATAGGCAGCATGAGGGCCTGATTCACACCATGAAGGTTAAAGGACTTATAGCCCCACTTAAGTAGATAGAATATGGGGTATATGGGGAGCTTATTACATGTTTGGGTAGTTGGGTTGACCTAAGCCCTAAAACCTAAACACACAACCTATTTGAAAGCCCTTGCGCTGAAACCTTCTATTATAGTATATTATAGCATATTATAGTACATTGTATAATATTATGGTATATTATAGTATATTCTAGTATATGATGGGTATATTATGGTAAATTATGGTATGTTACAGTATATTATAGTATATGATGGTGTATTATAGTATATTATGGTACATTATAGCATATTATGGTATAGGATAGTATATTTATGGTATATTATGATATATTATGGTATATTATATTATATTCCATTTTAACAGGCAAATGGCTGGAAGACAACCACCACATTTTCAAGGCGGAGCTACAGGCGATATTGAACGAGCCGGGCGACGCACCTTGCTGTTTGATGGAGTAAGTTTGGCGCTTTTGTTATAGGGTTTAGGGTTTAGGGTTTAGGGGATTTTGTGATTGGGGTAAGGAGCTGCCTTGCATAGCCCTAAAATCAGAACTGGGCCGGTACTGGCCTGACCCTCCAGCGGCTCCAGCGCATTTCTATTTTGGTCTTGACTACTTTTTAGAAAGTGGTGTTCTTTGACTGGGTTGTCCTTTGGGATCGTTTTAAGTTCCCCCATTATCTTGTAGAGAACCATGAAGATAAATGATATTCGGAGGGCTTAAAGGACAACCCAGTTGAAGGACCCGGATCTACAGACGGCTCTCGGTCTGTTCTTTTCTGTAGTCTCTTGATATTTGTTTGTTTGAGGTTTTGCTGGTGCCGGGACCTCTGTGTTTAAGCTTACATTGCATTGCGATTACACTAAACCTCAACCCCTAAAACCCTGAACCCTGTGGTGGTGCAGGGAGATTTCCTGGGATCCCATAAATACTCGCAGGGGCTCACAGTTTCACATGAGGCACCAAGATACATGTACCGTGTCTCTCTCAGAGCCAGCATGGTAATAGTAAGTAACAGTAACGTAATGGTAATAGTAACAGTGATGGTAATAGTAAGAGTAATAGTACTAGTAAGAGTGATAGCAATATAGTAAAAGAGTAATAGCAATATAGTAATATAGTAATATAGTAATATAGTAATATACTAATATAGTAATAGTACTAGTGATAGTGTGCTACATATGGTTCCCAGCGGCAAGCCTTGAGTTTAACAACTAACCAGGTCTTTGAGCAGCTCATGAAGATCGACCCGTCAAGAGAACACCTCGCGACACCTGGTGGTTGGGACACGCTGCGCATTGTCCGCTACCACAATTGGTTCGAGGTGGAACTCATGAAGTTTCCCAAAATTAGAGGTACCTTTTTGGGATCCCTGTAATAAGGAATATAGTATTTTGGGGTCTATATCGGGGCCCCCTGATTTCAGGAAACCATCAGATCCCTACTGTGAACCCTGAATCTTGAAATTCAGGGCATGCAGGGTTTGAAGTTACAGTGTGCTCAGTACCCAGTTGTCAGCACGCATCTTTCCAACCAGTCCTATACACTAGCTGTAAGGGAGCCGTAAACCTCTAAATTCCATACCCGTCCCGAAATTACCTTCCGGGCTTAGATATTTACCAAAAGCCCGAAATAGTAGCTTCCATTTTCTTTTCCATTATCCCATTATATATCCCCTATATATCCCCTATATAACCCCTATATAACCCTGATCCTGAAACCCTAAACCCTGTATAAGCCTAAATCCTAAGCCCGAAGCCCTGTATGGTCCAAGATTCCTTATACAGTGTCATGGTGTTGAGGTATCAGGATACTGGAAGCTCAAGCTGGCGGCTGAAAAATTAGGATCCCTCTTTTTTGGAACTTTTCTAACAGACTTGATTAAGGCGTTGTATAGGGGATTACGTAGGGTTTAGGGTTCAGGATTTAGGGTTTTAGGATTTAGGGTTTAGGGGGATGACATGAATAGACGGGAAATATAGGGGTTCTATAGGGTAATGGAAAAGAAGATGGAAAACTACTATAGTATGTTAGTGTACTCTATATAATTTGGAGCCTCTCTAACAGACCTCATGAAGTAAGGGGAGCCTCTGCTAAAGCAGGTGTTCTGCCAGCTGGCTCCCATGACTTGCGAGCTTATACGCTCGCGGCCAGAGATCAACGACTGCAAGTTCATGAACGTCAACTATGCGGCTTTTCTGCAAGTTAAAATTCTACAGCCTCATGGATGATGCATTCATCAACATCAACAGGGCCCAAATGGGGCATAGGAATTACGGTAACTTACGGCTTGGACATGTTTTAAGCCTGGCCGAAGCCATTTTTGAGAGTCCTTAAAATGAGGATTACATTGTATTGGGGTTCATGCAGCGCCCCCCCTGTTTTTGCAATCCCCAACATCTCTGAACTCGACAACCGTCCTCGATCCTGAACCTGAAACCCATGATGGTGTAGAACGAAATCTTCTCACTTGTGGCAAGATTATGCTGCTTGGGCCTCTATAGTCGTTACAAATCTTCGTCGCATCTGTACCAGTATTGGTCTGCATCGGCTTTTCAGCGTGATTGCTTTGGTGGACGGGAGGATGGGGAGTGTAACTTCCATATCGTTTCCCTGGAGCACAGGTGCGATTGAACCCTGGGACTCACTTGAAGCCGCACTACGGCAATGGCCCACGGCTTTCTGCCCACCTGTCGGCCACCTGGGCGGCAGAAAAGTTGCCAGTTATTGCTTCGAGGGATTGGGACTTCGTATGGTGTTTCTTCGGCAGGACAATGGTGATTCAAGTATTTGGTATCTGGACCACTGTTGGCTGAACCACTGCCTTGGGAGGAAGATTACCCAGCAAGTATGGCTGGCGATGTACACCGTCGCAACAATGCCAAGTATCAATAGAACCTTGCAAGGTTTTCTGGGGAGCTGGACAGCTAGGGCTTCAGGGCCCAATGCTTTGGACGTTTTCGTGAAAGCGCATCTGAAGCTTTAAGATACAGCAAGGAGGAAAACAGACCCCAAAGCGGAAGCAACTAGGTCCTCTTCAGTCCAGGTTCCTGCCCTGCCGGGTTCTCCAGCTAGAGCCCTTTACAGTGTAGGTATGAATAAGTCAATAAGTAAGTAAGTATGTATGTGTAAGTAAGTAAGTAAGTAAGTACGTACGTACGTAAGTAAGTAAGTAAGTAAGTGTGTATGTATGTATGTATGTATGTATGTATGCACGTACATGTATACACGCACACTCTCACCATCTAGCACATAAGTGTGGGTCTGAGAGCAAGTTAACTTGTTGAGGGTCACGGTGACGACATAAGCATACTTGTAGCCTTCGCAAGAGATGGCGCGACCCCAGTTATCCCCATTGCCGACCTGCCTGGTACCGTAAGTCCCCTTGGAACCCCTTACAAATCCTGAAGCTCAAAGCCTGTAAACCCGTCTCTTCCCTCTTTTTTTTCATTCCTTACTAGACCCCCCTGACCTGAAGCCCTGAACCCCAACATATCCCAACATATCCCCCATAACCGCCGCAAAGGGCCCCTAGAACCACCCCCAAGTTGCGCCTGGAGGTGATAGCCCCAGAGCCGATGAAGGCAGGCTTAACGGCTGCTTGGCTTAAACATGTAGGGTTTCTGTTTAGGGTTTAGGGTTCAGGGTTTAGGCAGGACGTCGCGCGTACGCGCAAGCCTGTTGCAAAAGAGCAGATTCTATAGGGGTGATACAGGGATTCCATAGGCTTAATGGGATTTTAAAGGATTATATAGGATAGGGGATATATAGGGATTTCACAGGGATTCTATAGGCTTAACGGGATCCTAGAGGATTACAAAGGGTTTCTGTATGTGTTCTATAGGGATTATGTAGAGTTTATGGATATTACCCCGATAATGGAGAATCCAATGGAAAATCACATGGAACGTGACATGACAACTAAGGTGACATAAAGCTTCTGTAATGTTGATATGACCCTATTAAGTCTACTGGCAGACCATTGTTCCCGAGGTACTTTGCATCTAGGACCATGCAGGATTTTGGTCCCATCCGTGCTGAGGTTGCTGACCAAAAGCGATTATGGGTTGAGGGTGAGGCCATCCTTTTCGATGACACCTACCCTCACATGGTGATGCTTGGTGGAGTCAGAGCGTCCCCTCCACAGTAGGTTCAAACAAGAGTAGTAAGGCTCTTTTACCATTTGGTTCCTTGGGTTCCTGGGGCCTACCTACTTTCAGGATCAAGAGATTCGGCCAAGAACTTAGTGCCCAAACAGAGCTTCTGTAGTTGAACCGTTAGGGGCCTCGGCAATCAAAAAGAACACAAAGGGTAGGAGCTGGCTATGCTTGTCGGTTTCATATTGCTCCGGTTGTGTTGTGTTTCGAACTCAAAGCGCGACTTTGGCAAAGTAGAGTTCGCGCCTCATTCAGGAGCCACTGGGGCAATCTGCCTCGCTATGTCATCCTGGTTTGGTTCTGCCATCCTTGCGACACAGGGAACGCGCACCACCAGACATGCACCTGGACCAATTTTGCCTCTTCACAAGGGGGTTGCCAAAAACCCTCTAAAGGGCTTGTAGAATTTTACAGGGGTATACAGAGACACATGGGGTTTAGGATTGTAGCTTCGGTTTCTGGAATTTAGGGTCTGTGCTTTTGAGACAGGATACTTGGATTCCTCAAAGACTCAAAGCTGCAGACGAGATTGGCGACACGATGTCAAGACCCAACGGATAAATCAGAACGTTTGATTAATTGGCCCGCCAAGCGCTGTCTGCTTAGAACGAGGAGCTATGCAGGAGCCCTAAGTCAGTAAAAACTCGGCCGTGAACATCAAAACTCTAAAGCCCTAAACGCCTCACTAGCCCAAAGCCTCATGCCGAAGCCTAATCTGAAACCTTTAGCTCAAGCGCAAAGCCCGTAACCAAACTGTCATGCCGAAACTCCGCATGAAGCTCAAACACTGCATCCTTAGCGAACCCCACTATAGTAGTTTCCATTTTATTTTCCATTATCCCCATATAACCCTGATATACTACAGTAGTTTCCATTTTCTTTTCCATTATCCCAATATTACCTTAATGTATATCTCAGCTCAGGTCCCACAGTGTGAGGCATGGCAGTGCTATTTGAGCCATAGTCTAAACTCCTTAAAGGGGGTTATATAGGGGATTATATAGGGACTACTACAGGTCTTATTAAGGGGGATACTAGGAGTTTAGACAATGGCTCATTTTACTCCAGAACTGTTTAACTGCACATGGAAATTGGAGCTTATGCTTCAAGTTTCTCTGCCGGGATGGGCGGAAGCTCTTGTCAAGCCTTGACTGACTCAGGTTGCTACATTCTAGGAATTAGTTTGCACACCTGCTTGGTCTTTGTGAACAGCCTTTTCCAAAGTAGTTTGGGGTAAGGCACCTTCTTGAGACTGTAGCCGCCGCGATAAGCAACAACACCATTCTTCATTGCATAGTCTTTTAGTAGCTGTATGTATTAAGTTTTGATCCTAAAAGTCCGACCACCAAACTGCAAAATCTAAAGTGGCAAGCCATACTCCCCGATAGCATGCTTACTCAAGCACGGCTCATACTTAGCAAGCCGGGTTAACCAGGCATTGCGCCCAGGGAACATTCCGAAAGGAAGCCCTACTCCCGCATGGGCTCCAGGTATTGCTCAGCAACAAGCTTAATATAATATGCCCAAAGCCATATTCTATCTACTTAAGGGGGACTATATGGGCCTGAAGCCCAGTCAACCTGCATTGCACCCGATTATAAGATGAGGCTTGGCATTTGTAGCGCCGTTCTGGTGTGGCGGTTTCCAGAATCTGCGGCCTCTTAACGGCGGAGTGTGTAATTGGGAATTTGAGGGGTGTCTTGGGCATGGGGCGGGAAGAGAGGCATATGTAGTGTGTATATATATATATATATTCATGTACTCTTTGTAGGTATACATGCGAATTCTTATTCGCACTGGATGTATGAACCCTTTACAAAGTAATTCTCCTCCCACCCAAAAAATTGTCATGGATGGAAATCGTTGCCTGTTCTCATGGTTTGCTCTCAGAGTTGGGACAGTTTCCATGATGTTATGTTGCGAACCCCCTTCATGCCAGCTGTAGCAGTGAAGGATCTTGTCGACATACCGTCAACCCCCAAGAAGCGCATGAATCCCGAGGGGCTTGACATATCCCGAGGTCCTTCAGGCCACCAGGTTTTGAGAAAGCTCCACGCGAGGTTTTGAGGGTCTCGATGATAAAGCTGGGTTGAGATCACTTAAACTCCCCAAGGCAAACAGTATTCCGGGCTTCGAGCTTCGAGTTGCGCCATTGCCCAAAACTGTCAATTCTTGCAGCACCCGCTACCTCCCTCAATGAACTTCCCCATGCAAACGGGCGTATCCCCGTGCAAAGCCCGAAGACATCAGATCCTCCAACTCCTGTACCGTTTAGAAGCATGATTCTTGTTGGCAATCTATTCCTTGTCCAGAGCTCTGTTACTGAACTTGTTGTGAATATACAGGTATAATATGGGGTTATATAGGGATAATGGAAAACAAACTAGAGACTACTACTTAGGGTTTAGGGTTGTACAGAGAATCCGCGTATCGGGCTCGAAAGATTCTGGAAACTCGGACGTTGACACTTGCTGAAAGCCCTCGGGCAGAAGAGCCAAAGGGCTGGAAGGCGTGAGATAAAGTCCAGCAATGTAAAGTTTGAGGATTACTCCTTTCCCCCAATATTAACTCGCTACCCGATATTTCATATTGGGGGTGGGTTAATATTAGTGGGAAGGGATTAGGGGTTCTCGGTCAATATTGTTGTTCTCATTACATAAGGGTTTCCGTAAATGGAACCTGATACCTGCGAACCCCAGAAGACTCAGTCCTTACTATACCTACTGGTGCCGAAGGGGGAGTGGGGCAGTGAATATAGGTACCATTCTAGGGGTATATATGGGGGTTATATAAGTATGATTATAGGGATCCACTCCCCCACTCTCCTTAAGCACCCAGTGAGTATATGTATATATGTATATAGCAATGCCAAAACGGCAGTCTTAGTCTTTAAGCTGCCATGAATCTGCAAGAAGGATTTTCCTCTTCTCAGATGGGGGTTTCCCAAAATTAGGGGTACCATTTTGGGGTCCTACAAATATGGATTATCATATATGGGAGATTTACACTGGGGTCCCCGCTAAACCCTAAACCCTCATCGTGGGAAACTGCCAGATCAAGTAGGGTAAGCTTTGTGGAGCCCCAAGCCTCCTCACCAACAAAATAGGACCTATTAAAGATCATGTGAACTGTAGTCTAAACCCATTAAAGGGGGGTTATATAGCGGAGTATAAAGGGGGTACTATAGGGATTACTAAGGGGATACTAGCAGTTTAGACTATAGCTCATGTGACTATACTGCTTGGCGGGTTACAAAATCCTCGCTACTGTGGCTACACAGATGTGCCTTACTACCCATTTCTGCCCAAGCTTTCCCCTTGGCAGCAGCATCGTGTTTCATGAGCCTGGAGGGAGGATGAGCATAGTACGGGGCCTAATCTGTCACCAGTATCGTGGGTTTTGATTCCTCGTCCAACTATTGTTTTGGAAGCTTCAAAACATGATTTCGCATGATAATGATGATACTGGCAACTTACTCAGGCCTTTCAGTAAGCAGAGCAAATCGCAGGGTTGAAAGGCGCCGCAGTAATTGAAGGGTCTTGCTAGGTTCTAGAAGTCAACTCCACGGTTCGACAGGTATCCGAAGCTTTCAAAGAAACGGCTTTACTCGAGATCTCACTCGGGGGCACACCCAGAAATGCCCATATCATGTTGGCGTAGTGCAGATCTCAGTTGGAAACTTAGAGGGTCTGCTGCATGGCTTTTTATTCTTCAAGCACGTCGCCGCAAAGGTCCATCAAAGCAAGTATGTGAACTCACGATTCATGAGCCTTGACTCTTTTTCTGCAAGCTCTCAAACCCCAAACGGTCAACAGAAGCCGTGTCGCTCCAAAACCTGCAGCTTCCCAGGCGCCATCGAAGCACGATGACCCAATGCAATTCCTGTATTGCCCGGTATGAACCCTCTACCCTAGCCCCAACCCTTGAACCCACGCCCATGCTTATCGCACTACGCCTGTCGCGACGTGGGGATGCCGCGGGTCGCACAGCTTGCGGCCCAGGGTGCCTTTCACCTACCGCAGAAACTGAGCATGAGTTGAGTTTAGGGCTTACTAGTAGGCATTTTTCTTGAGCCAGTTCTAACTCGTTTTGGGGTGCGCAGGGGAAACTAGAGGCCATTGGCGATTCATGTTCGAATTCTACACGGGCTATGTAGGAACGAGCATGGTATCTTGCGAGATGGCTTCTGGTATGATGTGGGAAGTGAACCACTAAATATTGGAGAATCAAGAAAAATGGAACATGCTCATGCAAGGCTCATTTTGCCCCTTGGCACTGGGGGCAATTCGATTAGCACAACGCGTTGAGACAATCTAAAACCCATGCGGTTTTCGCAGGCCCGCTTTGGAAGTATCGAGAGAATTCCCTATTTGGAGTTGGGCCCTCCACCCTCTACATCCCTACTGTCGATGGACAAGATCAAGCATGACCCTACATACCTGAGGCCTAGGATTGTGGTACTATAGTATACTTCGCGTCATGCATGATTTCATCCATCAACCGCCTAATCCTTTTAACACGTGCCCAAGGGCTGCTGCACCTGCAGTAGAGGGATGCCGTGGATTGCCAGTTCGCGACAACATGAATGCCCTGCTTGACTTTTCCCCACATATGGTGTCGTGTCCCGTGTTGACAGCCCAAGCCCCCGCCCTACCCATTTATGGTACGGTCCTTGACCTTGGAACCGAAACTCAAAAGTCCACCACACCAGGCCCCAACCCGTATTTTTGGACATCCCTACCTAAACCCACCTCAACCCTGCTGAACTACCAAGGAATGGAAATGGCTACCACATTGCGCCTGAAACCAAGAGGCACGCTCTTCTTCGGCAAGCTTCTTTGGACATCATCACCGAAAACGCACACCCTGAAGAATCCCAGAGCCCTAGACTCTGGATAACCCCTACCTCCCCAAAACCCTAAGTCTGAAGGCCTTATGAAGTTCCCGGCAAAGCCGTCGAAGAAGCCGACGACTCCGCACTGACGCAACCTCCTGATTTGGAGGAGAGGAAGGTGAGCCTGAGGGTCGGGGTGTAGGTTGTAGTAATCCTTGTCGGGTGTGTTCGTGGAATCAGCCCACAAGTTCTCCTCGCTTGCAACGTAGGGTAGACTACTGCCGACTCTTTTCCCCACCTCACTGAAAGCCTACCCCCTCAGCCTTCAGTGGGGTGTGCGCATGACTTGAACCCTCTATCGTAGTGCCTCATGTGTGAACCGATATGTCAGTTCTGCATAACAGGATTAGTATTGGCAATGGTTGTAGTAGTGGTCAGAGTAATATAATCTTAGCAATAGTACAGGTGATACTGATTGTGATATAAATAATGATGATGATGTGATGATGATGATGGTGATGATGAAGTAGTAGTAGAAATAGTCGTCGTCGTCGTAGTTGTCGTCGTCGTAGTCATGGCAATAGTGATCGTAATAGTAACCAAAATAGGAATAGTATTAGGAGTAGTGAATAGTACTAGTAGATCTTTACTCAATGGTTGTACGGGACTGGACACGGCCTTGTATAAAGCCGCTCTTATGACTATGGGCCTTGTGTGGGAACCCTGCCTGTTTCTTTCATCATTTTTGCCCACACTCTCGTTGCTCATGATACTGCTGCTGATGAGTGCCGTTCATAGCGTTACAACCACTAGTATCGCTGTCACCGCCATTATGCATGAAACTGCCACAACGAGATGGTAGTGACTCTGCAGTTTACTCCCCCACTCCAGACCACAAGTGTAAGCCTTAGAAGTCATACAGCTGTTTGAAGTACTGTCGTGTCCTCAACACATAGGTTTCTGTTCGCCAATGCACCACATTCTGATGTTGTTCAATCCCAGCAGCCAGGTCAAAGTAGCCTCCGGACCTGAGAAAAAGGAACAGCTGGATCTTCCTGGCAAGGTCACTGATGGGTGTGGGGGAAGGATTGAGGCTTCAGGGC